CGAATGAGTAGCGCATTAGACGCATGCGCAGTCTTTAAAGACGTGGGGTTAGGTCATCCAATGACTTTGATCCGAACAGAGAAATGAGAGGTTTGTGGTCGGTTTCCAGTACAAAGTGCGTTCCCACGATGTAATCTCGGAATTTTTCGCATGACCTCGGGAGTACCAAATTTTCTTTTTCGATCTGGGCGTATCTTTTTTCTGTTTCAGTGAGTGTTCTGGACGCATAGGCGATGAAGCGATATGATCCATCCTCCTGCTCTTGACGCAGCACTGCTCCCAGGCCGTAGGATGACGCATCTGCCGATACAATCGACCGTTTGTTGGCGTCGTAAAATCCAAGAATGGGGCAGGTTGAGAGGATTTCCTTCCACTTTTTGAAGGCTTTGTGCTGAGGATGATCCCACATGAAGTCCACTTTGGAACTGAGCAGTGACGATAGTGGATGCATTAGGTCAGACAGGTGTGGCACGAATCGTCCTAGGTATGTCGCCATACTCATGACGCCCTTGACTTCTTGCTTTGAAGTCGGTATGGGCATCTGCTTCACCGCGTTTACGATCGTCTCGGCCACCATCGCTGTTTAATTGATTACCTAGGAACTTGATACTTGTCACTCTAAAGACGCATTTATCCTTGTTGAGCGCGAGTCCTGCTGATAAGAGTCGCCTGAGGACTTCTCGCAGACGTTGCTCGTGCTGCTCGGACGATGACGCCCATATCAAGACATCGCCCATGTGGCAAAGTACTCCTACCATTCCTTGAAGAAGTTCTGTAATACGTCTCTGGAAGCGTTCTGGAGCCGACGTGATTTCGAATGGTAGGTGATTAAAACAAAATCTTCCAAACGGAGTGATGAATATCGGCCGGAGTCCTGACTTCTCTTCTAAAGGGATCTGCCAGAACCCAGAATTCGCGTCTAGCTTTGAGAAGATCTTGGCGCCTGCTAGTCTCCCAGCGTGTGCTCCACTGATGGGATTGGGAGATATTCGCGTTGAATGTGCTTGTTTATTTGGGCGAGATCAACACAATAGCGAATTTTGCCAGACGGTTTGGGGTCGATGACCATCGGCGCGCACCATTCAGTAGGTTCTACTGGAAAGATGACACCCTGCGACTGCATGTTTTATAGCTCTTTCTGCGTTTCACGATACAGCGAAAGCGGTACTCTTCTGGGTGATGCGATAGCAAATCACATCGCACTAGGTCTCAGCTTGAGAACCTGAGCACGTTCGAGAGATCCTAGTCCTTGAAACAGCTGAGAGAACTCTTTCTTCAGTTCGCAAGCTTTGTTCGCAGTCATGCAGATTTGAGGGCCTTGCCGAAACTTTTCGATAGCTGGCTTATCCAAGAGAGGCTTGCGAATTCTTTTCACGATGTAGACTTCTTCGAGTGCTTGTTGCACACGGCAGTTGAGCTTCATCCAAGCTGATCCCATGACTTTGAGGGGTCGTCTGTCTGGACCATGAAGTCTGCGTTGGGGCTCGGAGAGCTTGTGGCACTTTGCGAAGACGTTTTGAAAGGTGGCAGCTAGTAACACCGTTTCATCTGCTCCAGTGTCTATTCGAAAAACAACAGCAATTTTGTCGAGGAGTATTTGGATGTCCCATTTTGCTGTTTGAGGAGAAGCTGCAGCTCGTACGAATTCTTCCTCGTGTACGAGGGAGCTCACGGCAGTTGTAGTTTTGCAAACTGTTGCAAAATGTCCCTTTTTTTACACTTGTTGTAGCCTGCGTTCTTCGCCGCACACACGCTCCTCGGGTGAGCTTCTCGACCCCACCAACGGCAAGGTTTGCCTTTTGGTTTGTGTGCCGCGGTCTTCTTAGTAGGAGATCGAACATTTGGTTGTTCAGCTCCTCGTTGAGCAGGTCCCGCTGCTGTCCCAGTTTTGGCTGCTATACGGTCAACGCTGGCATCCTTTTCTTTTGTCGGCCGGAGCTCCACTTGTCGCTTCTGAATCACTTCCGATTGTCGCGCAGCAGCGATGGCATTCTGTAGGTCCAGATCAGGAACCAGTTGAAGCTTTTCCGAAGTTTTGCTGTCCCGAAGACCAAGAATCAACCTGTCGCGGGTCAATTCTTTTTTTAGTGGTCCATAGTCGCACGTAGTGGCTAGTCCATTGAGAGCAGTGACGTACTGCTCGACGGTTTCCGTCTCCAGTTGCAATCTTGTGTTGAACATGGCTCTCTCGTACACACGTTTCGACGGGGAATGAAGTAACGTTCGAAGTTCTCCATCACCTTGTCGAAGTCTTGAGCCTCGGTGTCGGACAGCTTGAAAGTCTGTAAGACGTCTTCAGCTTGTGGTCCCCAGATGTAAATGAGAGCGTGGACTTTGTGTGATGATGGTTGAGATGCCAGTCCTGATGCACTGTGGAAGCGCTTGAATCTCTTCTTCCCCGCCGGCCATTCGTTAGGTGTTGTAAAACTGAAGGCTTCGGGTGGCGAGATGCGAAAGTTGCCGTTACCAATTGTTGCGTAGCGCCGTTGTAGGCAGAAGTTGAGGGCTTGTCCATTGTTACTTCGTTTGTAGTCGATCCTGCGCTTTACTAATTATTAGTAGACTCGCGGAGCAATCCCACTTCTGACAACTTGTTTCGTTTTACGTTCTTTGGCGAAGAGAACACACAGACAACCTTTCGTGCAGGAGTCAGACTGAAGACTGAGGTCTCGTTTATTATAGGTAAAACGAAATAAAAGAAAGACGCCTCTGGTACGGGCGCTAAGGTTACGCGCGAAGTGGGGGAATGGATGTTTATATCTCGGGCTACGCGCGAACGGTGGTTCTCGGTCGCTTTGAACTTTGGAGCTCGCGAGCGTCGGCCCGTCGGCGACTCCATAACACCATACCGGGAAAGAAAAAAATGTGCTGCATATGTTCCACGTCTCATAATACTGTTAGAAAGTCGCATAAAACACCCGAAATGAAGTAGTTTGAATAGTTGACTTCACAACTTTTAGGTTCACCAAGATAATCTGCCATGTCTTATGCATAAATATAATTACAAAACAAAATAATTTTGGCTGCGATACGTCTCAACCATTTAATTAGAATATCGCTTTTTGACACATGATTCTATAAAGGTAGAACAAAATAATGTAGTTTATGGATCATCTGATAGGCAAAGCGTGGTAGACAGCCAAGTTCAAACATCAAACTGCCCTTAGTGTTCTTCAATGAAAAACATGCATATAATACCTCATATGTTCTTTATACCGTATTAGCATATATAGTTCGTGTAGGCCCTATAGTTTCGAAATAAAAATATGTGTGCCAGATTTATATATTTTTTATTCAGTATATATTCAACGTCCGCTTTGTTGTCCCACTACATTGATTTCATATACACACAGTGTCGCGATTGAAAGTCTGTCACCGGACATTGCGTTTTGTTTGTTGTGTAGACGCTTATATGTAATTTGCTATTTAGAATTTAAAGCCAGCATAATTCTTAATGATTGAAAAAATGAGTAGTTTATAGTAATGCATTTGCGCGTTTTTTTTTATTGAAACAGATACCTTCTTTGAAGGCCACCTAAGAACTTTTTTATTGCTTCAACAACAAAAAAAAATATTGCCAAATGAGGAGTATTTGTCGGCAAGAAACATGTCTGCAGCCTAATTGCGTTCTCAATTCCGCTTAAGTGTTTAACCAATTTTTTTTTCTTTGCTGTGAATGATTTGTGTTAAGGTAGTTCAATGCACAAATGAATGAACAGAATAATTCTATTGCAAAGGATTCTCATGGCCTATGTCAAAAACGTGAAGGTGGAGTAATTAGTTGTGGGTCACAGCACAAATTATACACATGTTGGGGGAAAACCGCGTAGACAGAAAAGGTCAACGAAGTGAAGTGTATGAAAAGTTAATCAACATATACAATAATTACTGACAGTTAAAAATTGGCATCGACCTTTACTTTCAAAATCCTAAGACGCATAAAATGCAGTGTTTAAAAAGTAATAGTTTAAATTTTGTTTAGAGAACTATATACCGTCCTGTATACCGGGTGTCCTAAATAACGGTCAGGCTTTTTAAATCGACCGAAAAGTTCGGTTTCTTAACCTATCACACTACAATTTTCTGCAGGGTTGCCCAAATATGCTGCATGTTTTTTTTTTTTTTTTAAATTTGCAAAGAACAAACTTACATGAGGAAAAAGTAAAAAAATAAATAAAAAAAGGCTCAACTTCTATGGAAACGCACTGAAGCTACCGGTCTTTAAACAATACGGAGCCCTATTGATTGGAAACCGATGGCTTCGCGGAATTTTTACAAGAGTTTAGCCTTTTTCTTTGTTGACGCTTTCCTCAGGTATGTTCGTTCTTTGCAAATTTCACAAAAAAAACAACAAACAAACAACAGAATGCATCATTTGTGGGCAACGCAGCACAAAATCGTAGCGCCACAGGTTAAGAAACAAAATTTTGCTGTTGATTTAAAGAGCCTGACCGCTATTTGGAAAACCCGGTAGAATATGTCACGTCACGTCGTGTCACGTGACGTCAATTTTCTAGCTAAATTAAATAGGGAAACTACATTGGTGTATGGTTCCCGTGACGTCAGGCTACCTTGACATAAATGTCCCCGCCATATTTAGCGGGAAAACTTAATTGGTCTGTAGGTCCCGTGACGTCAGGTCATGTGATATTATATTCCGCTAAATTTAGCGGGGCAACTCAATCCGTGTATAGGCAACGTCACACCGATTCGTAAATAAATGTAGTGGAAATGCACAGACGGACGGACGGACAGATGGACAAATATTTGGGATTGGGGAGTATCGTCAAAAAGCATTTCATGCTTTCAAACAAACGCAGGGCTCGGTGACACGGAGCAGTTCATTATCAATCCACAGCCTCTTAGATTCCGCCTTTAGACGGTAAGACTGGCGAAGAACGAAGCACATTAAGCAACTGACTTCAACTCTTAAGTTGTCATTGACGTGTCTTAAGGTGTCTTAACCTGAACTAATAATTAGAATATTTCGTGTTTTTCAGGTCCGGCCGAACCAGAAAATTTGTTACAAGATCATAAGACCTCTTCTTCAGCCCTATTTATAAAATGGAATCCACCCAAGGAAACGAACGGCCCACTCTCCGGGTACAATGTTTCATGGACGTCTGACGGAGGCGCAACCCTGGCATCCTCTGAAACGAATGAAACGGAATTCGAGATATTACACCTAAGGGCCTACACCACGTACACGGTCAGTGTGCGAGCATTTAATGAATGGCAGGAACTCAAGTGGTATGGGACACCAGCCATCCTGAATCTCACTACGGAAGTGGACGGTACGTCTCCTTTAACTTTATTTATGCAGTAATTCTTAGACTGATAGCTGGCCTTTTTATAAACAAAACCTGCAAATATATTGCCCAATAGAGCAGCTAGATAGTCAGTCATCACGAATGTCAGGAAAAACGTTGAGAAAGACGTGAGAGTTGTTTTCATTGCGACATAATGTTTTGATGGCATGAGGTATCACATGCCTAAGATTCAGTGCTTATCGTTCTTTTAGCCTCCAGATGATGCATTCTTGAATCTTCAAAAAACATGGGGAATAGGCGCCGTAGTAGCTTTAGGCACGTGTAGTTTGCAGAGAAGTATTATCGCGGACTCTGTTAGCTGTAACACGCGAGCGGCGGCTGTCCCGTACCCCCAGCGCCGCATAGCAGGCGCCTTCCCAAACCCCGCGCATGCGCCGTATGGCGGGCTAGCTCTTCCCGCCAGCGAGCACACCTCCGCTTTGTCTTCTGCTAGGCGCAAAGCAGGCAACATCCCAGCACTTGCCAATGTACGCTGAACAGGGTTTCGTGTTCAGCAAACCACCATGCAAGAGGTGCGTAAGAGGCGCCCATGGTTTCGTGAGCGCCTTTTACGCGGCGGTTGATTCCCTGACTCACGGATATGCGTTCGCCTGGCTGAGGATAATTATCACAACTAATTGTATATATCACGGTAGATTACTTTATTTCTCTCCATCAAACTTGCAGTTGACGGTCTATTTCTGAATCACACCTGCTGCGTTCATGCTGGTTCGCGAACGCGTATCGTTGAAATATGCATTGCGCACAACTGCTTCTAAAAAAAGCAAAAAAAAAGTAAAAAGAATAAAAAAATGTAGACAGGGTTTATGCCAGAATGATTTTGCAATTTGCCCCAATAAACACTGCCAACCTAGAATTAGTTCAACACTAGTTCGTAATGGCGAGAATATCAGACGAGCAGAGACGACTGGTTGTCGATTTGTGCCTAAATAGGCGCCCACGAAACCGCGTTCAGCGAACATTGGCAAGCGCTGGGATGCCCAGCAGACGACCAAGCGAGGGTGTGCCCGCAGGTGGGAAGAGCCAGTCCGTCACACGACACATGCGTGGAGTTTCAGACGGCATTTGCTACGAGGCGCTGGGGGTGCGCGACGGCTGCCGCTGGCGTGTTACAGCTAACAGTGTCCACGTTAGTACATTACATTCATATTGTCACGAATGACGAGGTGACGAACGAGGAATAACTAAGGCAACTGGAACGTTTAATGTGGCGAACTTGTGCCCAAACAAAAAGGAAACCGAAGATTACAAAAGAGCGTCGCGGGCGTCGAAGTCGGCGAAACAGCACGATCAAACGCTGGGGCGAGACTGACTCCGACTTGCCACGCGGAGCGCCTTTTGTAGCCGCGTGGGTTTCTGGAACATTCGGCCTAGAACGTTCGGCACGTATAACATTCGCAATTTGATGAAACGAGAAAGTTCTCGAATTTGCAAGAACGACAAGTAGAAAGAATAAATAAAAGAACATTCCGCTACTTGAAATCAAACCGAGAACTTCCGCGCGACAGTCAAGCGCGGTAGCCGGAAGGTGTCTCGACAGGGGCCCTCCAACGCAGGCGTAAAGTGGACGCCACGACGAACGACATCAGTGCGACCGCCGAGACCAACCTGCACCAAGGAAAACCGACGTCTGGAGGACAGCGGATCGTCGACCCATGTAGTATCACTACGGTGAAGCTGACCACCTTTACAGTCGATGCCCCCTAGCAAAAAAAAAAAAACTGGGGCTGCGCGTTTTCTACCGGAACGACCCGCGCCCATGGTACGGCGAACGCCCTCGCGACATCGAGGAGTACCTCCGACGACCCCCAATTTCAGCGCCGCCTCTCCGCCGTGAATCTCGCTCACCGTCGCCCAGACGTTCAGCGTCTCCAGCGCCACAATACTACCGAGAAAGCCTGTCTCCCCTGCGCCGCCGGGAAAAATAAGTGCTGAAACGCCTGGAGGTGGCGTTGCTGAAGAAGACTGATGTAAAAAGCCTCCAAGAACGCCAAAGGGCTCCCATTCTTCCAACGCCACATATACCAACGACGCTCCTGCAACAGTGCCCAAAAACCTAAACGTTGTTATCGACGGTCATGACACATCAGCACTCGTGGACACCGGAGAAGACTACTCAGTCTTGACTGGGAGGCTCTCTCGCCGCCCTCGAATAGTGACGACGCCATGGGATGGGCCGCAGATACAAAGCGCTGGAGTACACTTTATCACGCCCACCGGAAGGTGCACTGCTCGCGTCAAAATTGACGGCGAGACGTGTTATGTGAAAGTCGTCGTTGTACAAGACTGTGCGAGAGACGTTATTTTCGGCAGGGATTTCTTGTGCGAATACGGCGCCGTCATCAACTTGAGAGCGAACAGATCGACGCCACAAAAACCGGCCATACCGCCGGAGGAAACCAGAGCGACGTCACCTGCGGTTTGAGTTCTCGCCGAGCATGCAAACCTGCCCCCACGATCGTCTGATTTTATACCCATCGGGACCGATGACGCTTCCTGTGTCGAAGCTTTGCTTGAGGGCAGCGTCCTGATGCATCTAGGAAGAGGAATCGGCGTCGCAAGAGGGGTAACGATCCTTCAGGATGGGCGTACCATCGTCTCGTTACAAACGTTCGACAAGAGCCGCAACACCTTACGAAAGGTACTGCCATGGGCCATATAGAGGACCTCCAGAACTCAACCGAAATCGTCGCGATTAATGAAGAGTCCCCTCCACTTGAGCAAGACAGTACGTCGCCAGCGCAGCTCAACATCGACCCTAAGCTTCTGGGCTCGAAACGACGGCAGCTGATAAACCTCCTCGCCGAATACCCTGCACCTCCACCAAAATGTCACGAATGACGAGCTGAAGAACGAGGAATAACTGAGAAAACTAAAATGTTTAATGGGGCGAACTTGTTCCCAAAACAAAAAGGAAACAGAAGGTTACAGCAGAGCGTTGCGGACCTCGAAGTCGGCGTAACAGCAGGATCGCACGCTGGGGCAAAACTGGCTCCGGCTAGCCATGCGGAGGGCCTTTTGTAGCAGAGTGGGTTTCTGGAACATTCGACTTAGAACGTTCGGCGCTTCGAACATTCGCAAGTCGAAGAGTCAAAAAAGTTCTCGAACTTGGGAGAACGACAAATAGACAGAATAAATAAAAGACCATTCCGCTACTTAAAAGCGAACCCAGATCTTCCACGCGCCGGTCAAGCCCGGTAACCATTCGGTCACGCACGCACTCGCTCGGTGAGGCGCTTGTGGCAATATTTCGCAGTATTGTTTGTCTTGAAGTGATGTTCGCTATATATTTTGTGACCTGCTTGTTTCGACGACTTTGGATAATGTTGCAAGTGCTATGCAGGAGAGCAGAGGCTCCTGATTTCTTAGAGCGCAAGACCTGCTCATGACGTCATCGTTGGTGGATGCCCGACTCGTCCCAAGTGGCGAGCAGGCTTAAGCTTGACGGGAGTAGCCACAAAGCGGCAGACGCGTCCGTTGTGGCGTCGCGCTCGTGAGACGCTAGCAGGTAACGACGCCTCGGCGGGCGCGTCTCAGAAAGGGGCAGGCCAATTGTCTTTTAGGTGGTTTGCGGAGAGAAAGAGTCTGCTCCTTGCGCAGGAGTTGCGATAATGTGAGAACGACGCCCAGCTCTGATTGGCTTTGATCGAAAGGATAGTTAATAGACTTCGATGCTAGCTGCCTCGAGGTCTACACATCATACTTTTTCAATCAGCCAATAAGAGTTCGGCGTTCTGACGTCATCGCAGCCCCTGAGTCTGAAGCAGACGAACTTGCTCTCCGCGTTGGCTGGTCTAACCCTCTAAAGCATATGTGTGTGTGCGTGTCTGCTCTTTCATTTTGTGGTCGTTTTTTGTGTTATCTTACCATTTGAACGAATGTCCCTCCATGACATTGATAACCTAAAAAAACGCGGGCAAGCACCATCAATTAAGCATCAGTCTTCATAAGTGGCATATCGCGAAGTGAGCAAGGCTTCCTTGTTCTTAAAGACGCGTTGTTCTCAAAGGGGTATTCACGCGAGGGAGAAATCCCGGGGATTTGTCCCCGGCGCGCACGCATCACAAAACGGAAACGCGAGGCTTTTGCACATCGCGAAGCTTGACGTTTTCGTCGCGGGATGCGCGTGCCGTGGAGAAATCTCCGGGATTACTCCCTCGTGTAAACACCCCTTTAACGGCAGAGCCATTAGGCGAGTACATGATCGACTTTGCGATTGTTTGTCACTTCTTTCATACAGCTCCACAAGCGCCGAAAATCCACATCAACGGTGGCTCACGAAGCGCCGCGGTTGAGCTGCTCGTTCCGTCCGTGCCCAACGGGCCGCTAAATGGATCGTACCTCACCGTCTGTAGAATGGACGTCGGCTGCTCCCACCAAGTTCCACACACTTCAACTTGCGATCCAGAGTACGAAGTCGAGGGACGACTCCCGCTTCTCCTGGAAGACCTGTCGCCTTGGACGTACTACGAAATCCGGGCGAGGATGTACAATGTCGACTCCAGGAACGTCCAGCTGAACGGGACCTACGCCAAGCAGTGCTTCAGGACAAAACCGGCAGGTTGCGCACGTTTGTTATCCTCGTAAAAAAAAAGAAAAGTTTCTCGTTACGGCGGGCGCCTGGGATCCATTCTCGACCGGTGTAATTTAACCGTACTACACCACTCCTACGTCCAAAGGGGTTCTGATGTGTTCAGAAATGATGTGGCATGGGGCGGCGTTTCATGTTGTCAAATGTCGCGAGCCTGGCGGTTGGTCTTAGAGGGTTCGGTAGAAAGCAAGAGCGAACGCGAGTGTTGCTGTCGTACCGACGTCCGAACCCTTGCCTGTTGAAGTTTACGCGAACTGTCAATCTGGAGAGTGACTTGCGGCAGAACAGGGGCCCTAGTCTGGACACTAGGCAAAAAAGTAGGCAAGAAATCCGGAGGCCGTGATTGGCCAATGCCGCACTTGACCTTGGCGCCGGCCAATCATAGCCTCCGGATTTCTCACCGGCTTGTTCGCCAAGTGTCCAGATTGGGGCCGCAGGTGTCTGCCACATCTGCATCCCCTGTTCGGCAACCGCAAGGACCACTGCAGGCAACGGAAGAACACTTTTATGACGTCATCGCCTGGAAATTGTGATATATCATGTGAATAGGCGATAAACGCACCAGTGGGAGACACATTGTAGGCACCACAGTTATGTTTAGAGATTCTATGTTGAATAGGAGTAGCTAAGCCGCGGCCACGGCAGAGTCGGCGTAATCACCGAAGTGAAAAGTGATTGTAAATGAAAAACCAGAATTTTTGTGTCATCAACCAAACCAAAGAAATACTGTCGGTACAAAACTGAAGAACTACATGAAAATTACGTAAACCTGAAACCGGCTTGCAGATCAAACCGGTACGTGTGCGCTTTATTCATGAATTACACCAATAAATACGCTCAAATGCTGTAGAGCGTCATGTTCACCGCATTTTTTAGTATATATATATATATATATATGCAAGAAAGAAGTTATAGCTTTTATTACCCTGGTATGTAATTGTTTCAGTGCCGGCAATTTAATGAATGGCCTCAGTTTGAACTCTGCTCTAGATAACTCTGAAGTTTGTATTCTTGCTGCCGCATTTGTTTTGTGTAGCGCTGGCCTAGGCGTCACGAGTAGCATCACTACAACTTGAGGCTCTCCTCTGTTGGCACACCGAGAGGACGCAATTATGACCACGCGAAGCAGTGAATTTAAAGTCGCTGGGCGTCATATTTAGGCTTGGGTCAATGTATAAGCTCCACTTCCGAATATCGCCCACCTCTACCCTACAAAAATAATTTCAGGTAGTCTTTAGAAATCCTAACCGTATTTTAACGACTCTCAACCTCCTATTCAGTGACGTCATTGCCATAGTGGTATACAAAAATGTCTGGACTTCTTTGCAACCAAAGTAAAGCTTACGGACGTATAGAAGTTATACAAAAGTTCTCACGACATCGTTCAATAGATTTTCTATCGCCGCACTTTTATAAGGTATCCACGGAAGGACTTATTAAAATACTAAGATGTAGTGCCGAAGAAGCTAGGTCTCACCCAGTTGGAACTTCTTTGCAGAGGCTGTTTTTGCCTATTGCGATTCTTTATAGTTGGAGATACGGTTTATCATCTTTGGAAACTACATTCCCTCTAAAATATTGGCGAGAAGAAAGCAGCATTCTTATAATAATTTTAACTGCTGATGCGCTCCTCGTTCAAATGTTTTGCCGTTCAAATGTAAGGTATATAATGAGGTGGACTTGTCAGCATCCCTGTATTGCTTGTGTTGAGAGTGCTTCGTGCACGTGTATTCGTGATATCTGCGTTCGCGCAGCACGCATGTGCCGGTGCACGTTTTCATAGATATAGCGTGGCAGACCTTAATAAATGCTCAAGATTCGTCTTTTTTTTCTCCCCGATAAAATGAATTATTGCCTATAGAAAGTGTTTATATTGCACTTGATATAAGTTAAGTTCTATTTGTTTGCCATAGAATATGTATTCAAACTCTATGCACTAAGTTGTATTAAAAGTAAAAAAAAAAAACAAAAAAAAACAGCAGCTAAACATTTGGAGACGGCGATAGAAAAAGCGGATACATTTGTTTTAGAATATTTGTAGGTTCTATGCTACATTCTTTATAGATATAATGTAAAATGTGGTCAAACATATTTTAATGGCATTTTCCGGTTGTCTCGTAGGCGGCGCGATTCTGGTGCTTAGTACAGAGCGGGCGTATAATTGCCGATCGTTACGACTAAAAACGCAACTTCCTCAACTACAGATACGTCGTCCGGAAGCTCAGGCGGTATCGTTTTTTGCTCCGTTGTGGATGGTTTTGACATTTCTGGAGGTAGAAAATTCGTTTCTGGCCATTAAATATAAGGCTAGGAATAACTGCAGAGTATCATAATTTTAAGCACAAAGATTGACTGAAATGTCTCAGCTCTGAAACATTTTTTTTAATGGCTCTGATTTGGGCACGGTTACCAGCGCCACTTCCGGAACACTCCCTAATATCTGACGCTCGCTGAGGAGGTGTGCGCTAGGCTCGCCACACTGCGCACACTGTGACGCCTACGAGATGACACCGGCGTGCAAGCAAATATGAGTCAACGAACTCGCTGTTTAAAGACAAGAATGAAGCAAAGCGTGAGACATTTAGGAACACGCCTTGCCCTCGGGTCATATGAAGGTTTCCTTAAGATAGATTACCCTAGGGGTACTGGGGCGCGCAACTGGTGTATTTAGATTTCAGAGTGTTTTCGACTTCTGGATCGGTCGGGGTTAGGTTGGTTGCGGGCGGTGCACCCAACACGAGCTACCAGGAGTTGACCGAAAGCGCTGATCGTCTGCAATCGTCTCAAGCCCTCCTCTCGTTTTTCTTTTTGCCAGGCGACGACGCAGCGCATGCGCACTTGCAACCACACGAGGCGTTCGCCATTAAATTGCAAATGCTCTTGATGTTTCCAGTTGCTTGCCCTCCTAAATATAGGCTCTCTACGCTCGACCCGTCCTAGAGCTCACGCTGTAATTGGCCAAAATACGACGTAAGGTTAAATAAAGTGTGGGCGCACTAGAGAGGGAGACGGAGAGTACGGCATTGAACCAGCTGCCAGTTACCCACCCGTGTATGGGGCGGGGGAAGCGCAAACCAATTCCATTTAAGAGTGATCTGAAAAGCACCCTCAAGGTCTTTCTTATGTTCGGATTGGTCGTCTTTTTATCGCGAACGGTAGATTCTGGTATACATGGCTTGCATGGACGTCACTTGGTCGGACACAGTGTTGTAGGCGTTACCGAAAAAAAGAGTAACGAAATGAAAGGAACGCGTAGACCGTCCAGCGTTATCTCAAAATAAAAGGAAAGCGTCAGCGTTACCGCAACCGATAAAAAGTAACGCACGTTACCTTTGCGTTACTTTTTTAATAATAAATATAGGTTCCACTCTTTTGACGTTGCAGGTATGTATATGTCCGATATTTCAAGAAACATTATGTCCATGCAGAAACTGAACATAATTACCCTATATTTTTCAAAATTTCACCTAAATACTCACAAAAGAAAAAACACCCAAAAACGCAAAAATAGAAACCAATATTCACATGGTTTGGCGCCTGGAAACACGAAATAAATTAAAATGCAATATTTGTAAGTCTTGGGAAGAATATGTAACCAGTAAACTTACTGTTACTGTCCCCCCCCCCCCCCCCAAAAAAAAAAATAAATAAAAATTAACTAGTACGTTACTTGTTAACAAAAAAATAAAAATAAAACGCACGCCTTACCGGTAATAAAGTTACTCGTAACGAGTTACTGCCAACACCGGTCAGGCACAATTGTAGAAAGGTCACGCGGCTAGCTGAACAAAGAGGGGCGGACTGACGTAACGTGCGAGCCACGTATAGACCAACGCCCTCCTTACAAACCAGTCAGCGTTTTCCTACACCAGGTGCTTGCTCTTTGCTCCACTGGAACCAGCTTCCTGCGAAGTGAAGCGTGTGCACAAGCTCCGACAGAGCATCGCCGCCGCACAGTTCCTTGACGTCAGAGAATTGTATTGGTGTACGTAGTCACCGACAGCCGAATAAACGCAGGGTGTGCCTCATTGCGGGCCTATAGACTAATGCTGCAATCCCATTGGTTGTGTAGCGATAATAAGATACCAGCGACTCGCCCCACCCTGCCTGCGTTGGGTGCTCGGTAACTATTACTGCCAGCATATGTTTCTAGCGTGCGAACCTGTGAGCAATCTTACTTTACTGCTACATGCATGGAATGCATGGTATATGCGGGTTCGAGAAGAAAGGGTCTGACGAACACCTGTGCCGCGGATGAACTCGGGTTCCGGATGCAGCTTCGAAAGACAGGAACACCTGCATCGAGCCATTTCTGTACTTTAAATGACAAAGCCGGGTTGCCAGAACACCATCCGAACTGATTAGTTTTGATTCATTAACACATTGAGATTTTCGTTGTGCTCGGTGTCAAAAGACCCTTTTTATGGCAAATTCTACCCGGTGGTGTCCCAGTCTTTGACGTCTTAAAGTAGTTCCGGTATATAAAAATAGTAAGCAAAGGTCGCCTTAAGACCGCTGCTTGAAATGTAGATGAAGCGTTTAACCACCAATTCTCCACGTAAACGCTAAAAGAACGAAGGAGTGCGAGATCTGTGAAAATATTTAGAGTATTTTGGTAAGCCAACTTGTGTACTCCTGGATGTCTTATTGTACAGCCGAAGTCCCTCGTTAAATCTCCAAATTTGTTGTCCTTGTAGCTTTTATGCTTTCTTGCAAAGATTACATGAGCAAGCTCAATAGGCTTGCAAAGACGGTGCGACCGGAAGTTGCATGGCTCGCCAGCGACAGTTCATGTTTGTAAACAGCAAAAGTGTTCATAGAACCTACATATGGCCTGTTTGTTTTCCTATTTTGTCCATGGAACAGGTGCCGAGCTGTCACAGCATCCAGACGCGCGACGTCTCACATTCTCGTTATCACAGGGCTGCGCTCTTTCTTTCCATCCATAGTTCTGTTTTTTAGGTATCCTTTGCCAAGGGCCCCAGTGAATAGTTGGGAGGGTTATTCAATATCTTCCACCGAAATAGAAACACGCAAGGGCATGCATTTGTTCTAGTGAAAGCCTCTCGACAAATATTGGGATATTCACTAAAATTAGTCGCTGGGATAGTTGGCTAAACATAGCAAGCACCCTTTTCCTCTCCCTGTTTTCTTCCTACCGGTTCCTTGCGCTATCTTTCGTTTACTATGGGATATTCAAGCTGTGTTACTAACTTTTCAGAGCCGTCGAAGCCGTCGCTCTTGCGGGCTGCCAATAGCAATAAGACCTCGCTGACGGTCGCATGGTCAGCCCCAGAGCAGCCCAACGGCCCCATTGACGGATACAACGTCAGCTGGACGAATGAAAAGGGCACGCTTAGTGCCGACGTCGGACAGGCGCTGAGCTACGCCATCCCGGATCTCCAGCCATACACCGAGTACGATGTCCAGGTACTTGCCTTCAACCGGCGTGATTCTAGGCTGCTCATTGGACCCCCTGCTAAACTCCTTGTTCGCACCAAACCGGACGGCAAGTACTGTTTTTCTTTCCTAGCCTATTTAGTTCGAATGATACTGCAGATGCTGATATTATTTCCAAACGATGTGAACCCTGCACAGACCTTGCTCGTTCGTGTTGGTGTTGTTCGCAACATAAGGAGGTCTTGAGCGAGAGTACTAGCAAAGGAGGGGAGCTTTTTATTTTGACGTCACAGCAAGCGTGACCAATGGCGTGCGGCCGCGCGTAGAGGATCTGAGGGTAAGCGTTGCGCTCGCGTGTGCCAGTGACAAATGCGTTTTGTGCGTGTAGACGTTTGACTCTCAGGTTTCCCCCTATTCTCTTCTTACAACGCTTGTACACACTCACACGGTCGCGCTCTCCTCTCCCCACCCTTCTTCTCCGCTGCATAGGAATGGATGCTGCGTAGTAAGGAATAAACCAGGGATGGGCAGTATTTCAAATACAAGTATTTGAAATACGTATTTCAAATACTTCGTGTATTTTGCATTTGTATTTAATTACAAATTGGGTAACGTATTTGACGTGTGTATTTAAATACTAAAACGTGGGTATTTCAAATACAATTGTAATTAAATACAATTTTGTGGACGAAAATACATCGCACAAATTGATTGTCACTGTCCAGAGCAGGAAGAAAGCTACGTTCTGCACCGAATACAGTGTCTCTCAATTGTGGCTCTCAACAAGCGTTTAGTGACTTTGTGATTACGGTGCTAGTCCAGGGCAAGAATAGTGACGAAATCGACGTTCACAAGCAGACTGGCTAAATAAGTGCCTATGACAACTTGTGATGCTTTCCAGCCTGATTTCCATCCATGTTTTTGCCTGGAACATTCTAAATGCGCGGGTCGTCCAGATTTTCGTAACTGGTGCGCAGGGCCGTACCCAGAAAAAAATTTCGGGGGGGTTTTCGGGGACAACGGCGGCCATTTTGAAAATGCCTATTGTCTTATTTTCGCCTATGAATCATGTGCATCGGTGGCATATATTGGAGAGTTATAGCAAACCGGAGAACCGGTCTCGGTTTGGTACCCGGTAGCCGACCGGCGTCACTGCGCGTGCGCAGAGGTGGAGATTAAAATCGGCTGACTGCAAGTGCACCGACCAGCGCCGTACGCAGAAAAAAATTTCGGGGGGGTCAGAACCCCCTAACACCCCCCCCCCCCCCCTGGTTACGGCCCTGCTGGTGCCAGTTGCAACAATAAAAAAATCTCTACCTAGTGCTACGCGTCTTGGTCGTCTCGGTTTTTTGTTGGTATGCTCTATACAAAAATGTAATCGACAAAAATGCTGCTTGAAGCTCTGTACTATTTTCACCTATTATATCCAAGTGGATTACATTTTTTGTGATTATATTTCTATTACGTTACTAGAGCCTCGCACACTAACTCCCGAGTGTGCGATGCAAAATTAAAATGAGATACCCAGAAACCCGTTGCAGGTGCCCTGAAGTCTCTGACGCAAATTTTGAGGAATGTATTTGGAAAAGTATTTGGAGGAGACCAAATACATTTGGTTGTATTTGTATCTTGTACTTAAATGCTTTTTTGGAAATGTAATTAGATTTGTAATTAAATACATTTTTGACGAAGTATTTTGTATTTGTATTTCGATACATATTTGCATGTATTTTGCCCATCCCTGGAATAAACTGAGTATTAATAGAATATTCTAGTGGGCGCGAAAGCACTTTACGGTAGATCGCTTGCGGGGCGACGCTCGAGAGAAAATTATGATGTACTCATAAAAGAAGTGCATGAATCAAGAAGTCCTTTACACATCCAAACTTTCTCCGTGACGTATCACATGCATATTATTCAGATAGCAAGTGCTGCTTGCTATAAATCGCCCCAAGTGCTACTGCACCCTCGTCGCATTGAACTGAATGTCGAATCCCAGCGATTATAAAGTCTCAATAAACAATTTTTGGAACAGAGGAGACACTAACTAGTTCTCGTATTTGAGAGATAAGCCACGACGATTCAAGACGATTCATTTCAAGAGTAAAAAAATGTGAAAAGTTTTGTTTAGCTTTCCGCTTTACAGCATAATACAATATCTTTTCAATACAATGAAATTTATATAAAAATACAATGCAATACAATGCGATTTATAACGTTTGATTTTACATTTAACATTTCCCGTTTCCACATAAACCAAGAAGGCTTTTGCATGGGACGCTGCAGTATCGACACAGAATATATGTAATACCATAGACAAGAGACGATAATTGCATCTTCATCCGTCTTATCTACCTCAAGTGCCCTGGTTATACGATGCTGGGGTCACTTCGTAATCAGATGGGCAAGAACGCGGCTTCGCTTCAACTTGTGGTGTATGTATAAAGTAGAGTGGATTGGCACTAATGTTCAATCAACTACAAGCAAAACTTTATTAATCAAAAGGGAAAATTGTTGCTTCACAATTAGGAATGAAAACTTAGTATAAACCGCAATCTACTCGCAAGCATAATGCATTTTTTGATTCTGGTAACGCGTTGAAATATGCTCTCAAGGTGAAACGAGTCAACCAGGGGAAAGATAATAAATATAAGATTCATAAACACATCGCAAAATTAACTGATTTTTGAAATCGTATTTATTTGTGAAAAGAATGATATGGTTATCGGTCTCTGCTGCAGCAAGAGGGTTTCGGGTGAGTTACGGAGTAAGCTGCTGACAGCTTCGCCAATAACATAGTTGCCGTCAGAGCAGCCGTTAGGAGGTGCAAACCTAAGGTTCATGCATCTTCTGTCCTTAAGAGCGCGACAGATACACCAAGTTGTGTTAAGATTTGCTGGAAGGTGAAAACATCATGTAGTGACTTGATACCTTATGCACATGGTAGAAAGTCGCGCGCTTCAATTTTGACGAACACAGGTATGCGGGTTGGTTCTCGGCATGTTCTGCCTAAATCATGCAGATAATTAGATACTGAAATATTGTTTTGCTAGTATTATTTTATTCATTAGGGCCCATAAATAGAGCAATTGATAAGAGACGTATTATGATACTTTACAGTGAAGCAGCTACATAAAAAGCCTGTCGGGACGAAATTTTCACACTTTAGAGGTAAATCACATAAAACAAATATTAAAAATGCAAAGTGTTTTTAAGCATGAAATGCTTTTTGACGTTATACCAAACCCCAACACTTTATGCGTTCGTCCGTCCGTGCTTTCCTCGCTAAATTTAGCGACGAATCTGAATTAGTGTTTAGGTCACATGACCTCAATTGATGTCACGTAACATGACGTCACGTGATCTGCTCACCAATTTGATTTATCTGCTATATCTACCGGTCCATTTTAGGTTCCGTGACCTGACGTCACGTGACGTATACACCAATTCGCTAAATTTGGCTGGAAGTTTTGTCACGAGATCTATACAACCATATAGCTTTCCCAATCAACATATCGGAAAATTTGATAAAAATAAAGGTTATTCAATCCCCGAGGCGACAGTATTAAGTGTTCTAAATAATTTTAAAGGATTGTACCTTAAATACGGCATTGCATTACTGGAGGTCGCTGCAAATCTTGGTTTCTTGTTGATGACGTCTATTGCACTAACGAAAAAGTAGTCGAATGTTGTAGGGTGGTATATTTAGGTGAATCCCTGGCAATAAGAAGGAGAAAAAAGTACCTCGGTAATTGGTCTGAACATTATCGTTATTGTATTAATATTATAACTCCAGAAACCTCGACTTTTTATTTTGTAGCTAAACTTATAATAAGGGGGTTTCCTCTAAACTAAAAAAATAGCATACAAGAATCAGGAGCATAAATAAATATTGTGTTATTGTTTTTCTTTTCCTCATATAGGAATTAGGCAGTTACCCACGCTGCTTCTTTTGGAAACCAACATCGACCTCATACCCTTGTATTGGGGGATAAATTGCAATGTTCCCTGTAATAAATTGCATCGAATATATGGAAGACTTTCAGACGTGAAAGTATGACAAGCGCGTTAAGTTACCTCTTGTTCATGCCTCACTTGATGTGCTAAAGTTTCAAAATGATGTGAACTTTGACGGCGCTAAAAAGAATAGACGAAAACTCAATTTGTATTTACAGTTCCAGGCCCGGTGGGGAACCTTCGCGTTTGCGCTTTCCCCAACAACACTGCTGTGCTGACCTGGCTGCCTCCCGAGATCAAAAGAGGTGCTCTCGAAGGGTTCGTCGTGATGTACAATTCTAGCAAGGTTAGCCTTCCTTCTAAACTACAGCTTCCATCACACAAATTGAGCGCACTTTAAAGGGACACTGACGATAGTGTAAAAAAAGTGTTTGTATTGTAGTGTTGTGATTGCTAGTAGGAACAATGAGAAATTACAATCTTGAACGTGATGACGAAACCTGGAAGCATAGATTGTGCTGAGCGCAAGCTACCAGCTCACAGAATAACCTTACAGAAATTGACGTCACGTGCCTTGAGGTAAAATGACGAGGTTATGTCACGTTCATATCCCGCTAAATGTAGCGAGGTATTTGATATCGCGCGACTTCAGGTCAGAGGACGTGATCGCGTGGCCTAAATTACGTCACCGAATTTAGCCGAAAAATTAACATCACCTGACTTAAGGCCATGGCGTGGTCACGTGATGTCTATTTACCCTTAAATTTAGCGGGGAAATGGACGTGAGGGTTCGTCGTCACGCTTTTCGCATTAAATTGTACTGACAAAGCACATTGTGTTAAAGCGCCCCGGGAACGAGCAAATCTTTTAAGTATGCTTTATTTAAGACAACTAAAGACTGGGAAGAATAGTGTAACTTATTCTACAGTAGTGGTAGCCGAAGTTAAAAATCAGCGTGAACAAACTCCATGGCAGTTTTTTATTCGTCGTTTCTTCTAAACAAGGCCTGGTGTATCGAATACACTTGCGAAATAAGGTTCGCACAGTTCATGCACGCGGGTCTGCGTTTTCATTCACGCAAAGCACGCGTAAACCCAGCTTCTGTGCGCTACCAAAGGAGCCTATGCATACGACTCAGCCGAAAACTAGCAAGCGTATAAGCGAGCTGTAAAGGTAAACCATGATCACTTATACCCGAAAGTTGCAGTAAGAAAAGTGAAAAATCAACAGTTGAAGAGACAAAAAAGTAAAAAGTTAGAAATACGAGGGTACGCCTGATGTTTTCAGAGTGCATCCTCAAGCGTTGATGTTTGCCTATACCTACAACAGTCTCAGGTACAGTTCATCGTGGTGCACCTTTTCAGCTTTCGATCTGCTAAAGTGGGAAGAGGCGGGAGGGAGCTTCCCCTAAGCTCCTAACCTGCTACCGATTATAGCTAATGTAGAGCAGCACGGACTACCGGCTTACGCAGAGGTTGACCGGAAAGCGGAGTGTCTGCTTCATGCAAAAGTGTTTGATGGCCTTGGTAGCCGCATAATTGAATTTCGTCACGGCTTGGACAACGCCCCCTAAATACAGGGTAACAGGGCCTCGTCAGGCAGACCAAATTTGCCTATCGTCTCGCTAACCTACTTCTTGTGCCTGAATAAAAAGATATAGCCCGGCCGTAGTGCTCAATTCTCTAGGTCATCTTCCGGGGCCAGCCTGTGTCTCAAATCGTGCAAGAGTGCTGCGTCAACTTTAAGCTAGTACTCGTGTTCTCACCAACGTTACTAGATTACCTCAGTTGTGGAACTCCCGCGAAAACGGGTTCTCTCTCCACCCCCCCCCCCCCCCCCCACCCGCCGCATTCACTTCAGTTCGCCTCCCTAAAACCCCTGTATACGAAAAAGTAGCGACATCCTTTGAAGAATGCCGCCTGCTATCTTGGAGCGATCCAGTCGGCGCTACCCTCAACACGCGAGCGCGAAAGAGCAAAATATAACAATAAGAGTGTGCATGAGGCACAAGGAGGGAGAAGGAATGCCTATGCTGTCGGAGTGCAGTGCATGCTATGAGCTCATGTCGCCAATCAAATAACGCCGACTGTGTAACGTCACGGCTTTCATCGTCTTTCTTTGAGCACATCCTTCGAGGCTGGTAGACCGTGACAGTGCGTTTTTGAGCCTGTGTTTATGTATTTTGCGTGTCTTTCAGGCCTTTGACCGTTCTCTGACTCAAGTAAAGGAAGGCCGTCTGATATCTTGGAGCGATCCAGGTGGCGCTACAATCGACGCGTGGGTGTAAAAGAGCAAAACACAAAGATAAAAGTAGTGCGCGTCAGAGGAGGAGGGAGAAGATGTCGCTACCTTTCTTATTCAGGGACATTACGCCTCCCGTCTTTGAAGCGCCATCTAGATTTTCATTTGAAAACTGTTTATTTCATAGACTAGGGTAGAACGCCATCTGAACGCTGCGCTCCGAACCGTATGTATTCCATGCGATACACTGCAAGCTTCTATAGCAGTCGTTCGGCGCGTCGAACAACAGTCGGCGAGCCGTGGTGAGAGAGTGGAAGTTCTGCTCGTGCAAGAAGCGTCCATGGGCAGTTCCGTAACTGAACTAATCTAAAAACGTTGGTTCTCACTGATTATGTACGAGTTCCCGTAGAACGCTGGTGCAGCACTCCTGTCCAGTGCGTGCACAGCGCCGGCGTCCGGTAGATTGTGTCGAAAATTCAGCACTAGGGCGTTGTTTTTTGTTTTGTACGTGTTGGCTATATTCTGTTTGGCGCTTAGCTGACAGGGTTAGCCGAAGCCATTCGCTCTTTGTCGATCCTTTGCTGCGTGATCATGCTCTAGTCCGTACCCACGAGCAGAAAGCGGGGTGAGGTGATGAAAGGGAGGCGGTTGATTGGTCCGGCGGGTGCGCAGTCCCTGCTGCCCAGCCAGCTTAGGGGTGAACGGAGTATAGGAGAACCGGGGCACTCCCGATAGCAAGCTCGTTTCATAACTTTTTTGTGTTTATACTTGTGCGTAGTCCCAAACTGTTGGATGTCCGTTCAATAGAACTCTTTCGAAAGTCACGTGCCGATTATTAAAAGGCCGGAAGCACTGTACAATGGCGGAACAACGGACACCGTAAAACGTGCGAATCATCCCCTGAGACAGCGAGCGTCCGAGTGCAAACAGCGATAGGAGCCGACTACTCAATCAAACAGTCTCTGAAGTGAAACGTCACTGTCCTCATGGCATTTTTCTTTTGATCTTGTTTTCTCTTTGAACGCAATCAAACGCATTAACTGCGCCGTGAAGCCGCTGCTTTTGTCCGCCATTGTGTAGGGTTTCAGCAGCTGCCAAGAGAGGGCGGTCTTTCGAAAGGCATATGTAGCGAATGATGTCTCTGCATAAAAAAAAAAGACAATATGACTTATTTTTTGAAGTGCACCTTTTTATGCGGTTGGCGCGTTTCTTTCATCCAGCCGGACAAGCCCACAAGGCTCAACGTCATTGCGAACGACCTACGTCAGGGTGATAGAACGCAATGCGAGGGAGAGCCCCTCACCTGTACTTTGTGGTTAGAGAATCTGCCGGCCGAGTACGAGTACGTCTTCGACGTGCGAGGCAAGAACGCCGAAATCGATCAGCTGGGAGAAGCTACCGGTGCCAAGGTCATCGTGCCTCCTGGGGGTAAGGGGCCACTCCGGGGGAAAAAATCTCAAACTACACTCTAAACGATTATAATATGAAGTACTTTACTGTGCTCCGTTTTACTTCGAGGCCCACCGCAGCAGAAGCTACGTTCGATGGAACCACTCTACCAGCCCCCAAAGTGCACCTACACACAGCTTGTTTTCTCCTACGCGTTTGCTACCACCGGACAGGCACATACCAAGGGGGGGGGGGGGGCAATAGGGCCCGCCCCCCCCCCCCGAAATCTTTCATTTTACTGGAACCTCCTCTCCCCCCTCCCCTCCATACAGCATTTTGTCGTGGGTGCCCCCCCCCCCCCCCCGAAACAAAATCCTGGCTACGTGCCTGCCATCGGACAAACCAATCACTTAATGAAAAAAACGGATGATCGTGGTGCATGCACTGAGCGTGATTGGATTAATCGATGGCTGCAAACGCCCACTGCTTTAGACTTTATCGGATCGTAGCCTTCACAGCGGTCGGTATTGGAGGGAAGCTGAAGCATTTCTAAAAAAATCTGACTTTGGAGCGGACACCTGTGCGGAGAACAAGTGGTCTGCTTCTTGCGCAGGAGCTGCGGGGGCGTCAGAAAGACGCAGAACTCTGATTGGCTCTGACTGAAGGATAGTGGGTAGACCTCAAAACAAGCGGCCCTTGAGGTCTACCTACTATCCTCAATCAGAGCTCGGCGTTCTGACGTCACCATAACCTCGGCAAAAGAAGCGACGAACTTGTACTCCGCATAGCTTTTTGTCCTGTGAATTCAGTTGTACCACTTTTCTTGGATAAAAGTAAACTTAATCCACATTCACTTTGAAAAATACGCGCAGCGATTGTCGCAATGCATGCGGTGATCATCGTTGCCACCAGTTAGTTATCTGTCCAGACTGTTGTGACGTCATCGTCGACATTCCCGAACCAGCTTAGCGGCGAGTGATTGTCGTCTGTCTCCGCTCAGGACGTCACTTTTGCTCGTTTTTCTGTCTGCTCTCGCGCTTTCCGGCCCACGGAGCGCCGGAACGGGTGGGTCTACGTCGAAATTTTAATCGGCTCTTACAAATAAGAATGAAAGAAAACTTCTTAAGGTGCCTAAATGCAACTTTTACTGTTTGTTCAAATTCAAGAAACTCTTCAGTTGCCCTTTAAAGTGAAATGGTGCAATGGAGAATATCAGAGCCGTATATGTACAAATTTTGGCCATCGGTCGGGAAAAATAGGAGACAAATGAGGAGGCGCCATTGGCCGAAATTGGGCTGGCTGTGTTCCAGGGCGTCTTCACAAATTCGAATGTGGCCAACCAGAAGCCGGTAAAAATATTCCGGCGGTGGTCGCGAGAAAAAAACTCAATAACTGCGTCGGAGTAACTTTCGGTGACTTAAGATATGGTGCACGGGATGTATAAATCACGGGCATCCAAAATAATGGTGAAAGAGTGCGACCAGCGAAACGATCATCATAATTCGTACGCCAAGCACCGAGGGCCGTGTATCTGCCGTCCGAGTGGTCACACTCTGTCCTAGCAAAACAGAGTTGAGCGGCGCATTCGTTTCTTGCATCTTTCTGCATGATCATGATCGAAACATCATGTGCACCCTGTTTCCTACCATGAAGGGTTACTACACTTCAATCTTACGCTCTTACTAAAACCATATACCATCATATACCTATGATTAAAGCAGTTTCTCGCTACCACCGCTAAGGTATTCTTTTCGGCTTCTAATTGGTCAAAAGGGCATGTCAAGCCAACTTACGGCGTCTGGTGCACGCCCTGGCCCCGCCCGCACCTCCCATTGACCAAATCCTCTTTATACAGGGCTCTGGAGAATATGTTTCGCTCTAGTCATTTCCATCAGACAGCGCGCCTACCGCGCCGGATCCTACCCTAGTGATTAGAGAACCTCGCACCCGAGTGAAAGCACGCGCATCGCATCGCGCTGTTACACAGTCGCGCGGAATAGAGGAAGAGAACTGCCGCCGGCACATCTACATACGATGTTTCCCGAGTCAGAAGAGACGGCTGTTTAGACTGGTGTACACCCACTATGATTAATGGTGGCCGCCACTCCTATAAAAAAAATAAATAAAAGAAACACTGGAGCTGCTGTGCATCCAGCTGTTCAAATTATGCAAAACTTGCCTGCGCCAGGGCCACTTGATTTTCGTGGACATGTATTTCGCCAATTAAGTATTTAATAATATCCTTGTGCGAATTTATTGAGCTAGACAAATAATTCAGAGCATGGCAAGACTCCGAAAGGTAATGGTCAGATAAACCGGGAATTGAAGTGCCCGGCATCCACCCATTAGAAAACCTAATAAAAAAGCATATTTTTTTATTTTTATGGCGAGACATTAATGATGGATACTGTAATGCAACATGAACAGACGAGAGAAATTTATACAGTAGACTCTGCAGATATTTAGAAAGCTTAAGTAATCATTCGTTGCAGTTCCGCTCGGGTTTGCATACGGCTGCTTTCCTACATATGTATTTTATATGTATATATTTTACGAAATTGAATTGTGTAAATGTAGAATGAATCATCCTATAAAGCATCAATTTAGTGCTAAACACGCGCGTTAATTTATTATACAAAAAAAGGAGGCAAAAATATAATCCGAAAAGGTAAACGTTTGATATAACCAGATTTTTATGCAACGGATTACTTTTACTTTGTTACTTCCTTGGTCATGGACTGAGAACTATGCTGACGTTAATAAACGGAGAGAAGTAACACATTTTAGTTACTTTTGATTGAGTAAAGAGTTATAGGGAGTAAAAAGTTATAGTGAGAAACTTGTGCTGCATCAGTGTTTTTGGTCACTCTTTCACGTGTTAATATCATAATCAAGAAGATAAAAAAAATGAAATCGCAAGCGAATTTCATCTTATTGTTCCTAAGGGTTGCCCTTCCTAAGCAACAACTCAAATCAACATGAAGTTTTCATAGACTTCCGCGCTATTTATTTTAAATTTTGTATCTCCTCAATATTTTACACTTTTCATTAATTCGGAGATGCAAGGGTAAAAGAAAAAGAATGATGAGCGTTTCCTTAACCTCTTTTAGATCCGCCAAGGCCCAAAAACTTATCCATGATAATGGGAAAGCTGGACGCTCCTGACCCCCAGACACAGCACGCATTTGCCATTTCACGCAAGATGTTCGATGACAGCAACGGAGACATTATTGAGTACACGGTAGTGCTGGGATCGCCGGAAGGAATAGGTAAGGCAACATTCGCGGCCACATTTCCAGCTACTCGTCATAGGCTTTCATAGCTGTTTAACGTCATTTCTAATGACGAAAATAATCCCTAGGGAAGCTGAACAAGGGGGACAAAGCTCAAGCACAAATCTCCAAACACAGATAGGTGGCTGGAGCGCAACCGAAAAACCGGCCTGGTTAAGGTCTCGAATCAGGAACCTCTTCATTTCCAGTCGAGCGCTCTACCAATAGAGCTGACCGGAAGTTAAATGTCAGTAGATGAAATGGGTTTTATCAGCTGCCACAAGTCTAACACCAACAAGGATGAACGGCCTGTATTATAAGGTTATAATGAAAATACAAGTAACGCAAAGGTGCAAGCGAGGTGGACAAGAATGACGAAAATAGTCCATATAGAAGTGTTTGAACATTTGTGTCCGTCCTTTGTACACCTTGTTCCCCTCCTCCAGGGATTATTTTCGTCATTTTTGTCCAGCTCGCTTGCACCTTTGCTTTAATTGATTTTTAATAATTTTTAATCTTTCATACATCAGTATAATGAGTGGGACAGTGCTGCGAAAGTTAGTTCATGTTTCAACAATATATTATATGGAGGTAGTTTTTTTTTATATAAGTGCATTCAAAGACGAGGTCGGTAGAGAAGAAAAAAACAAACTGTTTGCTTTGTTTTCATCTTAATGAACACTGGAACGATTATTTATGTAACTACAAAGTCAAATAATTGTTGTCGACCGTACAGGTAGTGCCTACCTCTAATCTGACTATTTACCGTTCGATAATGATGCCGCCGAAGGATGACGTGTCTAGCGGAGCTCTGCCGAAGGACGTGTGCGGCTCTTGTGCTGCACGCTTCTACTCGAAGCAGCAATTCCTTGTGTGTTCGGCAGGCTGCAGCCGAAAATTCCACTGTAAGTGCCTCAACGTGGGGCTCGTGGAGTACAACACGTATATGGAAACCGGGACAAGCACTTTTAAGTGCTCTGGCTGCACTCGGTGTTGCAGCTTGTCGCCAAAAGCTGCTCGCGCTTCAACGTCCGTCGACAACAAAAACTTGAACGTCATGGACGGTGAGTCGGCTTCTGCGCAAGAGAGCCTACCTTTTCCTGCAAGTTTCATGCGTGTCTTGGAAACTTTGAGCGGCAAACTGGACATACTGACGGCGGAATTCCAGTGCCTCCGCGCTGAGAACAGAAGTCTTCGTTCTGAAGTTCTGCAACTCCGCAAGAACGTCTTGGACAGAATCCGTCTAATTCCTTCATCGCGGCCGCTATACGCTACTGTCACTGGACTGCCGCCAGCTACGCCTACACCTGTACCCAACAGCCCTCCTCGGTCAGCATGGCTGCCCCAGAACGTGCAACATCAACCCTCGTCCACCCTCTGTCAAGAAAAGCACCCTGGCCAAACGACTTCACATCCAGACGAAGTGAGTGCTGTTGAACGTGATTTCCCAATGCAGAACTTTGGTTTGAATGGACTACAATCAGCGAATACGGTGGATGACGGTTTCGTCCCTGTCAAGTCTCGGCGACATGTGAAACCTTCGTCGGGCACCGCTAAACCTGATAAGGTAAATGCTGCGCCACCGCCCGTACGCCATATTGCCGCGCGCGCTGGCCAAGTAGGCAGCGCGCGAGTGGCCTAATGGTTATCGCGTCTGCCTCCCACGCGAAAAGCTAGGGTTCGAACCCTGGGAGCGACGTGTCTTTTGTTTATCCCTGTATTTTAGTGTTCTGGAGAATTCGAGAATCATGTTGCTTGTTCCAGGCCCGAATGTTCTACGCGTCGAAGTTTATACGCCGATTATTCCAGAAGTCCACGCATGTAACATAAGGGGCTCCGCGTGGCGAGCCGCAGTCAGTTTTCGCCCCAGCGTTCGTCTCCGCTGCTACGCCGACTTCGACGCCCGCGACGCTCTGTTATTATCTTTTGTACCTTTTTTTATTTTTGGCACAAGTTCGCCACATTAAACGTTTATTCCTTCCTGTTTATTTCTTGTTTATTGGTCACTACCCGTGACATTTTGGTGGAGGTGCGGGGTACCGCATGCCCGTGCAGCGTTCCCCTCCCAGGGTCCTCAGTGCAAGCCCGATTCCAAGCCCGGTGAGAAGACCACTCAACGCGGAACCTGAAACTCGGACCAGTCGCCGTACCCAAGGTCTACACCCGGAATACGGACTTCTGCCACCCCGGACCAGGCAGCCAACGAGGCCGACGATGGACAACCAGTCGTCGCAGAACCCGTCCACCGCCGCCGTCGTATACCTTCCCGTCGCACCCCGAACTCCGACGCCATTCCACGGGGAGGTCCTCGAGGACGTCGAAGATTGGCTGCAACATTACGAACGAGTTGCTCGCCATAACACATGGACTTCGGAGCAGTGCCTTCAGAACGTCTACTTCGCTCTGGAAGGCACGGCACGCACCTGGTTCGAGAACCACGAAGCGTCGATTTCGTCGTGGGAAGAATTCCAGGCCGAGCTGCGACGCACCTTTGCCAACCAGCACCGACGCCAGCGTGCCGAAGAACTCCTGCGAGCGAGAACCCAAGGGCCGACCGAAAGCGTCACGAGCTTCGTCGAAGACGTTCTCCACATGATGAATCGGGCCGACCCAAACGCTCCCGAAGAGAAAAAGCTCCGGGTCTTGATGCGCGGCGTCAAGGAAAACATTTTCGGAGGCCTTGTTCGGAGCCCGCCTACCACCGTCGAAGGTTTCATCACAGAGGCCACCAACATCGAACGTGCCCTTCAAGCACGCGCCGCCCACTATCACCGAGTCCCCGGCGTCGCTGACTTTTCATCTTCCGGCTACAACCCCACGGACATCCGCGAGATAATCCGGGACGTCGTGCGGGAGGAAATCAGGAAGCTGCTACCTGCTGCCACAAGCCCGGCTACGCCCTCAGTCGCTGAATTTCCGGGAAGAACTTCAGCAGGCGCTGCAGCCAGAAGTTCTCGCCAGCGCCGCTCCTGAACCACCGAAGCTGAGCTACGCCGCAGCTACCCGACGACCGCCGCCCCCTGCTCACCCGTATACGGCGCCACCTCGACATGAACCTCTAGCGCCGCAGTATTCACGACGCCATGAAGATCGGGCGTACGTCCGCCCAGAACAAGCTGCTCCACGAAAGACCGACGTGTGGAGAACGGCCGATCGACGCCCGTTGTGTTACCACTGCGGTGAAGCGGGCCACATTTACCGTCGATGCCCCTACCGACAACTGGGGCTCCGCGGGTTCCACCCGAACGACCCGCGCCCAAGGTACGACGAACGCCCTCGTGGCATCGAGGAGTACCTCCGACGTTCGCCATCTTCAACGCCGCTCCGCCGTGAGTCCCGCTCACCGTCGCCCAGACGTTCAGCGTCTCCAGCGCCACGACCCCGCCGAGAGAGCCTGTCGCCCTTGCGTCGCCGGGAAAACTAAGTGCGGCAACGCCTGGAGGTGGAGTTGCCGAAGACGACCCGAGTAAAGAGCCTCCAAGAACGCCGGAGCGCTCCCACTCTCCCGACGACACGCATCGCTACGACGCCCCTGCAACGGTGTCCAACAACCTAAACGTCGTCATCGACGGCCACGACGCATCGGCACTCGTGTACACCGGAGCAGACTACTCAGTCTTGAGTGGGAGGCTCTCCCGCCGCCTTCGAAAAGTCATGACGCCGTGGGAAGGACCCCAAATACGAACCGCCGGAGGACATCTCATCACACCAGTCGGGAGATGCACTGCTCGCGTCGAGATCCACGGTGAGACGTGCCCTGTGAAGTTCGTCGTTCTGCAGGACTGTTCGAGGGACGTTATCCTCGGAATGGACTTCCTCGGCGAGTATGGCGCCGTCATCGACCTCAGAGCAAACCGGCTAACTCTGCGAAAACCGGTTTCACCACCGAAGGAACCTAAAGCGACGTCATCCGCGGTCCGAGTCCTCGCAAGTCACGTAAACTTACCGCCGCGGTCGAGTGTTTTCGTACCTGTCGGGATCACCGAAGCTTTCTGCGGCGAAGTTCTGCTCGAGGGGAGCCTCCAGATGCTTCTAGGAAGAGGAATAGGCGTCGCAAGAGGAGTAGCTGAACTTCAGGATGGCCGCACTGTGATCCTCATGACGAACTTCCAAAGCGAAGCGCAACACCTCACGAAAGGGGCAGCCGTTGGCCACGTCGAGGAACTCCGAAGCTCCGCGGAAATCGCCGCCATTGCTGACGAATCCTCGCCACCTCAGCAAGACAGTACGTCGCCAGCGCAGCTCGACATTGACCCTAAGCTTCCGGACCCGAAACGACGTCAGCTGTTTAACCTTCTCGCCGAATACCGCGACTGCTTTGCGACGTCGTCGAAGGTGCGCCAAACCGCCGTTGCGAAGCACCGCATCGTTACCGAGGACGACGCGCGCCCTGTGCACCGATCTCCATACAGAGTCCCCGTCAAAGAAAGGCGGGTGATCCAGGAGCAAGTTCAAGAGATGCTGAACGACGACACAATTCAACCCTCAAGCAGTCCTTGGGCCTCCCCAGTCGTACTGGTTAAGAAAAAAGACGGGACGCTTAGGTTCTGCGTGGACTACCGGCAGCTGAACGCAGTGACGAAGAAAGACGTCTATCCACTCCCCCGCATCGACGACACGTTAGTCCGGCTGCGCCATTCTCGATACTTTTCATCGATGGACCTGAAGAGCGGCTACTGGCAGATCGAAGTCGACTAACGGGACCGAGAGAAGACAGCCTTCGTCACACCGGATGGGCTGTACGAGTTTAAGGTGATGCCCTTCGGGCTATGCACGGCGCCAGCAACTTTCCAGCGTGTCATGGACACCGTACTGGCAGGACTGAAGTGGCAGAGCTGTCTTGTCTACCTCGACGACGTCGTAGTGTTTTCCGGCGACTTCGACGAGCACTTGCGACGACTCCGAGCTGTTCTCCAAGCTATACGGACCGCCGGACTCACTCTCAAGCCGTCAAAGTGTCGGTTCGCCTATGACGAACTGAAGTTCCTAGGTCACGT